ATCCTGGTCTTACACGGCCTGAAATGCATTAGAAAAAAATAAAAATATTATATAAAATTATTTAAAAAAATGAAAAAAAATTATTAAAAATGTTTTCCTTGATAATTTTACCACAAAAATTGAAATTTTTCAGCGATTTTTTTCTCATTTTTCCTAAAAAGAAAACGTGCTTCTTCCTTTCCTAATCTGTTCATTTTTCCCATTCATAATCATAATTTTTCCGTTTCTCTCAACGGAAAAGAAGCCACATTTGATCGCCTTTTTCTGGTGCCAGGAAACCTTTAAAATAACTTATTAAATTGGATTTTTTTCTCTGTTTTTCTTTCTATTATGATGATGCGGAAATGAAAAAAATGGTCGTTGAGGTTTGAAATTTCATTAGAAAAATTTTTTTGGGAAGTGCCAAATTTATAAAGTTGCATTTTTTTGATATTTTTTTAGAAAAATTTTGAATATTTTTTTATCGATTATTTTTTTGTTTCCCGATGGTTTTTCGACTTTCTATATTTTTTTCCTCGCGTTTTATTTAAATTTTTCTTCTTTTTTTCTGCTGAAAAAAATAACTGAAAAATCAACGGTTTTTCTCGATTTTTTTGTTCAATATTCTGTTCCAAAACCCATATTTTCTCAAAAGTGTGCACTTTTTTCCCGTCCTCCGAACACTTGTCCCCAGATTTTTTTCTCGTTTCAAATTTCTCGTTTTTTTTCAAAATGATATCACCCCACTTGATGCACCTTCCTTTAAAAATTTTATAACTTTTTCGCAGATTGCATAACTTTACTGTTTCCAGAATATCATTAATGTGATTTTTTCAAGTTTGCAGTAATGGTTTTCTTTGACTTGTGTCGATAAAAAATAATTTTCGAAAGTTCTCTGTACCCTCCATTCTCTACACACTCTCTCATCTTTTTCAGTAATTTTCGGGTTTTTATCCAAAATATGATTTTCTAGTTTGAAAAAAGTTAAGTTTTCTCTAAACTCTCCTGTTTTCTTATAGTCTCTCGCTATTTTTTTGATTTTTTTTTTCAAACCTTCCCTCCTAAGAATAAATTTTTTTTTTCTCGTTTTATGCTTGCCTGTACCCTCCTGTTTTCCCATACTCTTTCGCCATTTTCTGATTTTTTGTGATTTATCAAATGATAAAGTCATATTGATCTTGAAAAAATCAACAAGTTTTCTCTGGTTTCTCCTTTTTTCTCGTGCTATTTCCTTTTTAATGTTTATTTCAAAAAATTTTTTATTTTTCTAGTTTTTTAAAAGTTATTTATCAGTTCCATGGGAAAATGAATACTATTATCAAAGCCTTTTTCATTCGGTTCTGGGAAACGGATTCAAATTTAGGATTATTGAAAAAAATTTTTCTGGTTGGAAAAAAACGGAAATGATTGAAAAAAATAACTTTTTCTTATTAAAAAAATTTAATGAAAAAAAGATTTGAAAATGCGTTTTTCAGTTTTTTTGGTAGTCACAAACGAAGTCAAAATTAGAAGGTCATTTTTATGTAACTAGAATGAAACTGTAACGCTATGTTTCAGATTATAAAGGATTTTTTTAAAATTTTGTCTTTTTGTCGGTTTTTGACTTCAATGTCAAACTGAATTCTCGTCCATATTTAATTTATAAGTGGAATTTTTCATTTTTTTGGACTGAATTTTTTTGAATTTCACAAGAAAAAAATCGATTTTTTTAAGGGTTTCTATTGACTTCATTCTTGAATTTTTGAAAAAAAGATCGAATTCTGATTTCTTATGGGTTTCTTACGTTTGAAATGAAAAAAATGCAGAAATTGGGAGTTTTTCGAATTTTTTTAAATTTATATTTCCATCAATTTTTGGTGAAATTGTCGTTTAAATTCTAAAAATCAACTTTATTCCAGTTCTGCTATCACTTTGAGGTGCCTTGAAATGCCTCAAAAAAATTTTTTGCGCCGGACCCAAAACGGCTTGCGCGCTGAAGGCCGCGAGCCATTCCAAATGCGAGCATTCTTCCAGATTTTTTTCATTTCCGGCTGCACCCTCAAGCCACGCCCACTTTCTACTCCGGAAAAGCAGTCCCCCCTTCTTTTCTTTTCCAAAACCGACGTCCAACATCGCTGGCGACGGCTCTCGTCCACATTTCTCTGCCCCGCTTCTCCCCGCTCTCTCATCTTCCATCATTAGAAACCCTCTCTCTCGTCTTCTCTGCCTGTCGACGTCTCTCACTATCTCCCTCTGCTCTTTATCTGCTTGTGCAATGTGTACGAACGTTCATATTTTCTTTTTTCCTCGTTTTTGCATTTTTATTCGATTTATTCTCGTTTCCTGGGATGTACTTTGAGACATTTGGACTAGTTTTTGGATGTTTTTAGCCCTATTTTTTGGAATTTGTCGTAAGGAAAAGAGTTTTTAATCATTTTATCTTTCTTTTCAAGACATTTTCTCGATTTTTTCACTCATTTTTGAAGAATTTGGACCATTTTTCGGTATTTTCAACACTGCTTTTTGGAATTTGTCGAATTTTGGGAAAAAAAAGAGTTTTTTTAATCATTTTATCTTACTTTTTCAAGACATTATTCGATTTTTACTCATTTGGTATGTTTTTTTGAGAAATTTGGACCATTTTTAAACTTTGTTTTTTTCGACATTTCGAATTTTTTTCGAACAAAAAAATTGTTTGTTAATTATTTTTTTCAAAAATATTTATTGATTATTCTATCTCATTCTGTTTGTTTTTCGAGAAATTTGGATCATTCTAAACCTGAAAATTTTTGAACTTCTCGAACAATAATTATTCATAAATTATGTTATATTACTGTTTTTTTGAGACATTTTTTTAAACATTTGCCTTCATTTTTTTGTTTTTTTAAGAAATCAGGGGCCATTTTTTTCGATATGTTCAATCCTATCTTTTTGAATTTTTTTAAAATTTTTAGAAGGAAGAGGGTTTTTTTAATTAAATTATCTTTTTTTAAGGTATTATTCGATTTTTTTGCCCTTTTTTTGGTTTGTTTTTTTGAAAAAAAGTGACTCTAATTTTATGTATTTTTCAACTGTGAAATTTGGAGATTTTTCGGATTATTCAATTATGTCATCTTACTGTTTCTAAAAATATTATAAATTTTTCAAAAAAATGAGTTAATTTTTAATGAATATGACAATTTGTAAAAAAATAATCATTGAAAAATAATTACTTTAATTTGTAAAGTTTTTTTATTCATTTTTTTATAATCTGAATTTTTCCCCCTTACTAATCTAGGTTGATGCTAAAGAAAGAAAAATGTAATTTTTCCCGTTTTGAGCTATATTTAGCCTATTCTTGAGCTATTTTGATTTTTAGCAAGATAAATGGAGAAATATACGTATTTAAGCTTCAAATACGTAATAGGATTTATTTATCCTCTTTTTTATAGCATATAAATCGCCAAGATTCTCCGGAAGCTGAGCTTTGAGCTTCTTGGCTAAGCCGTTTGACCTTTTTTGACCCTTTCTTCAGCTCAAAACTCGTTTTTTTTTTTCCAAAATTAACTATTTTTCTAATTTCTAAAATTTTTATTTGAAAAAAAGGGCCGCTAGGACGACGTTTTTGTAGGAAAAATTACTCTTGAAATTGAGAAAAAAATTAATGAATAAATGAGAATTTTCGGCTTTCAAAGGCTATTTTTTTAGTCTATAAAGCTGCTCCATTGATAAAAAAATCTACTGTTTCTTTTTTTGAGTAAATTTGGACTTTTTGTTGGCGATTAAAAAGTATTTTTTTGAGCTTCTAAAAAAATTTTTTTTTGACAGTTTTTTTGTTTAAAAAAAGTGGGAAAAAAATGTTTTTGTACCTAATTATTTTTTTGTTGAAAAAAATTATTCTCAGCTGTTTTTTTAATGAGGAAACAACGCTCTATTGATAAATCGACGAAAATCCAAATTTTTGAAGCACGTTTTTTTAAAAAAAGAATTCGAAAAAGTCGTCATTTTCCACGTTTCAACCCAGATAAAATACGTTTCAAAAATGTTACAAATGAATGATTTCTCAGTTAGATTCAGTACTGTCATATCCTCGGTGTATGAAAAAAAGAAAACTTCTTTCTGGGCCCCCTTTTTTTCTATAGGTAAGGTTGCTCTATTGATAATTTTTTTCGATTTTTTTGAAAGTTAATTATTTTTTTGGACAAGAGCTTTCAAACAGAATTTCGCTTTTTCTTCCAATTTATTTTTTTACTAATAAAACTCCGTAAAACTAATTTTCTTTATGGCAAAGTTTTGTTTTTGCGAAATTCCGGACCATTTTCAGCCTTTTTTTCCTGTTTCCTGACTATTGACACTGTAAAAAAATTGGTTTTTTTCTCACAGTTTTTGTTTGAATAGGAGAAATTCTCAGAGATTTTTCAGAAATAAATTTTTTTATATGGAAAAAGGTCTGGGAAAGACTTCCAAACGTTTGAATATTTCACTTTTAGCGCTTTTTTTCCTGTTTCAAAGGGTTGTTAAATAAAATTTGCACTGTATAATTTCAATAAATTCGCCATAAAAAAATTTGTTTTTCAGTGTCGTGACAAGAAAATAATTTTTTTGATCTTTCAAAAAGTTCAGTTTTTTTGCAATCCAACCGGCCAAAATGAATTTTTTTAGGAAAAAAATTATCAAAAAAATAACTTTTTCTGTCTTTTTTCCAAATCTGAAAAGCTGAAATTTTTGAAGAAAAAGGTCAGAGACGGAGAGTTATCGTCGGTTTCTCTGGATTCTTACCCTCAATTTGAACTCTTTTCTTTCCGTTGCGTATAGTTGACGACATACTTAATCGCTCAGTGAACAATCTTCCCACTACAAAAATCGAAATGAGACAAATTTTTGCGTTTTCTTGCTGAAAAATGAAGATTTGGCAGGATTACCGAGCCGCTACGCGACCGCAGCGCGTGTAATATCTTCAAAAATTCTTGAAAGGATGAAGAAAATTCAAAAAATTGCGAAAATCGGGACGCATAAATCGATTTTTCTTTCAAGATGACGTCACTCAAGCCTAACACAAGAACATGACGTCACTGAAACCGCGACGCGACCGCTCCGTCGCCAAAAATTCTCAGCCAAGAAGTTGCAATGAAGAGTTCGGAAACAGAAAGACCGGAAAATTTTGAGCAAGATGACTTCACTCAAGCCGCGACGCGACCGCGCCGCTCTGTAAAAAAATCAGTGCAGAACCTTGAAAAAAGGAGCAAATTTTTGGGATAGATTGCAAACATGACGTCATTCAGGACGCGACGCGACCGCTACGCTCATAACAGAAGACCTAAAAGTCATCCTGGAAACATTGGCTATTTTAGTTTTTTCGAAAAAAATCAAGTAAACCGCGAGGCGACCGCTCCGCTTCAAGGGAAGCTGAAGGAAGGTTCAGACTTCCTAGAGCTAACGGATATCAAGAGGAAAAACCTAAAAGTGACTTCATTCAAGCTCAATCTCCTTAAAACGACGACACTCGAGCCGCAACGCTTTGAGAGAAAGTCTAGGCTCAAAAATGGGAACAGGCATGAAAAAGCAGCTGAAAAATGACGTCACTTTGCCTGAATCTCCTCAAAATGACGTTGACGTCCTTGAAATGAGCTAAAAAATCTTCCTGGACCCGGACTCCTCAATCTCAAAGTCTTCTGAAGATGACGTCATTCCGACCGCGACGCTGCCGCTTCGCCTCACCCAATCCTCAGTTGAACTTCTAGACGCGACGTGTAACGCCGTGACGACGTCAGAAATGATCCGGAAGACATTTTCTAGCCAACCGACGTCTTCAACCAGTCGTCGGGACGACACATCTCTTCAACACTCGCTTTCAAATGGTCCGATGGATTCTGACGGAACGACGACACCGACGCTTCCTACTAGCCCCCTTCCACTTCCTCAACAACGTCCTTCGAAGTAGTTTCTTTGGTTTCTCTAGTAACAATATTTATGGCAAAAAAAAGGTTGAGATTGAACCAGTGACCTTTAGAGGGAGAGAGGAGAGCTTTATCTGTAAAATTTCTTGAAAATAAACTCTTAGACCTTCTAATTATCCTTAGAAGGTTTGAATTTGGCAAAAACCTCCACTGGATTCGAACCAGTGACCCTCCGATTGAAAAAGAAGAGCTTTACCTGATCATTTAGGAGTAGGATTTCTTCAAAAAAAGCTTTTGGAAAATTAAAAGACAATAGAAATGGCGTCCAAAAGCCCTAAAGCCCAAAAATAGCAAAAACGAGGATAGGATCCGAACCAGCGACCCTAAGACTGAGAGACCGGAGCATTACCTGTTGCTCCATGGCTTTCTTGAAATCAAAATCCTGAATTTTTGGATTTTTAGTTAAGATTTCTCTTTTTTGTGATCCCTGGAGTGTAAGTTATTCACTGTGGCCATTTTCTCCAGACTTTTTTATGGCTTTCATTTTTCTTAAAACTTTATGTCCGCGTTATTTATGTGAATAAGTTTTTTCTCCAAGAAAATCTTTCCTAGAACTTGTGCAATTCATTTTTGGTACGCCAGCGAAAAGAAAAACCAAAGTTCTGTCAATTAAAATGTAATCTGTGCATACACATCTGCCGTCACGGAAATTTGACCTACAGTAACTTTTTGTACATGATTTTTTCCACGTTCAAAAACCGATTTCGAATCTTTTTCTTTCCACTTCTAAAGATCATTTTTCGATCATTATTCACACTCTTATCAATTTATCGCCTTATCACCATTCTTTTACGGTTTTGGAATTTTTTTTTTTCATTAGCCAACGCCCAACCTTTTTCTTCTTTGATAAACCAATAAAAAAAGTTTTTTTATAATAATTTTTAGTAGACTCACTTTACTAAGATGATATCTTAGGCTTTTTGAAATGCCGCAAACTTTTTGGCAACCTTTTTGATAAGCACCGTTTTTTTGAACTTAAAACAAAAAAATGATTCATCAAAATTTATCGATAAAACTTGTTTTTGGAATGGGTTTTTCGACGTCATCTCACTGATATAATTCAAGTTGGTTCACAACGAACTTTCCTTGCATATATATAAAGGCTTGATTTTTCACATGAGATTACGGTTGTTATCAAAAAAACCGAAATTTTTCTGACTTTCTTCTCGATTTCGAAGGCCTTCTGGCCACGAAAAAGAGCAAATTTTTTGATTTTGTAATTTTTTTTTACAGAAAAAGATTCTCGTTTTCAATTGATCAAGCAACTTTTCCATTCAAAACACCAAAGATTTTTTGTTGAATTTTGTCTTCTTTTTTGTTTAAATTACTCATTTGTCACAGAATCTTTCAACAATATACGGTCTCCAAAAAGACGTATCATCCTTTTTCTTCAGAAATAAAAAACGTCCCCATTAGACCGCGATTTTCAGGCCTGATTCATGTTTGCCCAAAGCATTGCCATGCAATTTTTCATTTTTAACAATCTTGTACGTTTTTCTTTTTTTTTTGTCTTGCTCAACCTGAGGAATGCCCTTTGGAAGAGAGAGAAAAAATTTTAGTTCCGGTTTTTTCTTTTTGAGAAAAGGGATTCTTTCTATTCAAAAAGCTAAATTAATAATAAAGAGTTATTTAGCGTCTTATAAAAAAGGAAGACCAACGAAATAACCTTTTCGAAGAGAAAAATAGACAAAAAAGACATTTTTCAGTAGACCTGCGTACTGTAGTCCAAATTTCTGTGAGCTGTACCGTGTATGCACGATTTGCATTTTATTTTACGACAGAGCTTTTTTCTCCCAATATTGTTTTTTTCTATATTTATCATGCACTTGTTACAATATTCTATCATTAATGCAGTTAAAATTAAAGTTCAATCATTTTTGCAAGAGGAATAGATGTTTTCTCCATACTCTCTGCCCGCTCATGCGCTAATTAATCTCAATTTCTAATAATGGGATTTCTTTTTTCTGAATTTTGCCCCTATTACTCATTTCCTTCGAATTCAACTCAAAAGCCAAAAGTTATTTCGAAACCATGGCTACACCCCGTAATCGTTTAACTTTTTCTTTATTTTCACCTGCGAGAAAAAAATTACCACCTGCGAATTTTCTCATTCACTTTGCGATTCCGTTCGCCTCTTTTTGGCTAGACCAGGAAACTTTTTCAGTAGAAGATGATTGAGTGGAAAAACTAACGCAATTTTAAGGTTCATGTTTTTTTTTTTCTGAGTTATATGTTACAATTTGGTGTTAAGTTGTAATTTTTTATTATTGAGCGGAATTAAATTGTTTTTTCCTAGTTCTTGATAGAATCTTTCAGTTTTTATCTTCCATTCGTTTTGAAAGCGGAAAAAGTGCATAAAACTTTTGAAAAAAGGGGAAAAAAAGAACTGTCGTAAATTGAAATATAATTTGTGCATACACGCCGCCCAACACAATAATGTGACCTACAGTAACTTTTTTGCCAGAAAAAATTTTTTTTTGATAGTTTTTCTCACTTTTTTTCTAGAGTTGTCACAGTAACAAGGAAAAAACTTACCTTGTCAGTTTTCGTTCATTAAAAAAAAATAGTTATGCTTGATAACAAGTTGATGAAGTGGAGAAAAAGAAGAAAGTTGTTCTTTGCCCGGATTAGGCTCCACCCAGTTGGCTGGCGTTTTGTGTGCGTGTCTGTGAGTGTGTGAGTGAGTTTTATGTGCGTATTTATCAGCCACTACGTGGGTTGGGTTTCGCAGCCACACAAAACCCGATAACGAGAGTCCCTTTTATTCCGCCTTTTATGAATCATTCAACGGTGTTTCCCTTTTTATAGATTCGAATCGATATTTAGGCTCTAGGTTTTGGAATTTCTTATCGTTTTCGGGTTGATTTGGAACGGTTTCATGTCATTTTTTTGAGCAGTGTAGTAGTTTTTCCGATTTTTTTTTTCCATTATGAATTTTCTTTATTTTCAGTACATTTTTCGCCTTTTTAAGGTAAGAATGAATTTAAAGGCTTGAGGTTTGGGAATTTTTAGCGTTTTTGGGTTGATTTGGAACATTTTCTTGTTAATTTCAAGCAGCAGGGTTGTTTTTTTTTCATTAATTTTTTTTTGGTGTATACTTTGTTGAATTTTTCTCTCTTTTCTCGATTTGCAATAGATTTTCTAGCTTTTAATGGATACGAAGCATTATAAAGGCTTCAGGTTTTTTTTTGGGGGGTAATTCTGAACGCTTTTTTTGTCTTTTTCGAGGTTTTTTTCCTTCATTTTTTTCTTGCTCTTGATGATTTTAATGAATTTTATTTGTAGCCATTTTTTTGATCTTTTTCATCACTAAAAAAAGCGGTTTTTTTATTGTTTAAAAAAATTTTTTTGTAGAAAATTTCCTGCTCATTTTTATAAGCTTGAATCAACAAAAAGGCACTCTCTTTGGTTCTTTATTTTTATCAGTGGAAAGACGTTTTTTTCCCGAATTTTGTGATAGCGAACCTCTCATGAGTCATCGCTCTTTGACTGGACTTTCAATGGTTTTTCTAATTACTTGCGAAATTTTCAGATTATTATTACGAATAAGACTATCTGAATGTTTTTTTAATCCAATTCTTGAACTATTTCTCTTCTTTTTTTTTCACTTTTTGAACTGTTTGCGAGGAAAAAGCATTAAGTTTATTTCAAAAAAATCGTTTTTCTTAATGGTTCTCATTACTGTTTCTGGATAGATATTTTATTTTCTAGTGTATCATTTGTTTCTACTCGTCTTATAATGCAGTCTTATAGGCCAGCGTCTTTTTTTAGGATTTGTTAATTTTTTTCAGTTAGGAATCATTAAATTTATTTGAAATAGATTAAAAATTGCCTTTTTTTGATTGATTAGTTACAATTTTGGTTTTTTCCTGAATTTCATCAATTCTCAGTAATTTTTTTCCCATTTAAAAAGTTTTTTTCTGTGGGTAAACTATATGACTTTATGATTTTCCTGAGCTTTCCACTATATTTGACACTGAAGAGATCGCTCTAGGGATTTTTTATTGGATATTAATTCGCATTTTCGGTTTTCTTATATCTTTAATAGTTGATTTTAGCTCTAAAAAAGGTCCGGTTTTTACGGATTTTTCAAATTATTTATTTTTTACTTTGTAAAAGTTGTTCCTTACCATTTATCTTTGAATGGCCTCGTTTTTTTGCTGATATTTTTGTTCTCCATAGTTTTTTTCGATTTCCGATTTATTCATTACCATAAAATGTCTCGATAAAACCCGGATTTTTCCAGAATTTTTAATGAATTTTCTGGGGTTTTTCATCATTTTTTTACGCTTAGATTATCGTGATTTTTTTGAATTTTATTCTCATATTTTAATGGAAAATTGTGTTGCAGGCCTGGTGGTAATGAACTGTGAGGTGAAGCATGCGCTGCACTGCACCGTGCTGCTGTCGTGGATCGTCGGCTTCGCCTACTTCTGCGGCGTCTTCACCGAACCCGACGCCGGCACCGTTCCCGACAGCCCCGTCGAGAGGTGCCTTCATTTTTTGATTTTTTCGGGGATTTTAGATCTTATTTTCAACACTTGGGAACCCTGTTTTTAACTGTGTTTTCACAAGAAAAATTCTTTTCTTTCGCATTTTTTTCTGATTTTTTGATTTTTTCGCGACTTTCAGATTTAATTACCAAATTTGTGATTTTTCTTGAAACATGGACTCTAGATTTGTCAAAAGAACCTTGTAAAATTTGGAATCCGTAAAGATTTTTCGCAAAAATGGTGAAATGAGTTTAATTAGAAATCTCTAACCGGGTTTCTACGAGAAAAAAATTATTTTTGAAGCATTTTTCGATTTTTTTCCGTTTTTCGCTATTTTTTTATTTTTTTATTTTTCCCGGGAATTTCTAATTTCGAAACCTGGAGTTTTTTTATAAAAAAATTTAAACCTTTAATTTTTTTCAATTTGACTTCAAATTGTTAGTTTTATTGATAAAATTATTAAAAAAAATATGTTTTTTTAATTGAACTTTCGGATTTTTTTCTAAACTGGACTATAGATTTCTCAAGTCAGCTAAGAGCCTTGTAAAAAAATTAGAATATGAGGGAATTTTTTAAAAAAAATACGGTCAAATGAGTTTAATTAGAAATCTCTAACCATTTTTTTCTACGAGAAAAAAAGTATTTTTGGAGCTTTTTGAAATTTTGAAATTTTTTTGAGTTTTTCTGAGAAAAAAATTTTGTCGCACACTACATGGGAAATAGAGATGATATGACTAGACTGTTTTAATAAAATTACAATTTCAAGCATTTTTGGTCGTTTTTAAAGGTTAAATTTAATTTTCATCCTTTTTTCTGTTGACCTTTTGATGCAGAAAACTTTGATAATTTTACTGATATTTGTGAATTTTGTAAAAAATCGAGAAAAGCTTTTTTTTTTGACTTTTCCTGCTCTTTGTTGAGGTTAGACGAATTTTGTTATATTATCTTCAATTTTTGTCAATTTTTGCTTGAAAAAGATCAAGATTCTACGATTTTCCATAGTACGCGACGACATTTCTGCCATCGACGCATATCAAAATTATCGGAAACTTTTTGCCATTTTCCACCACCGATAACGAGCAAAATTTGTTGCCAACACGGGGCTTGGTGTAGCCAAAAACGTGTGATAAAAAAAAAGTTTGCCGAATCGCACGAAATCGTCCGTTTTGAAGGAGAAGAGATTATGAGATGTAGTAAGATGATAGTGGATGATTTTTCCAGCGAATAACTTGCAAAAGTAATAAACTAGAAGGCTTTGAACTGTTTTTGAATGGGAAAAATTGAGATATGTATTGAAAATGCCTAGTTTTTGAGTGAAAACTTGAAAAAAGCAATGATTTTTCATCAGTAAACTTCAAAAATTCAATAAATTGGAAGGAATTGAATTGTTCTTGAAGGGGAAAAAAAGTGAAATAAGTACGAAACTCGCTTGTTTCTCCAGTAGTAAATTCGAAAAAGCGAAAAAAACAGCTATTGAATTATTTTTTTCAAAGGAGAAATATGGAAGAAATCCTGGAAGTGCCTAATTTTTTTCTGCAATAACCTTGAAAAACAATGATTTTTTTATCAGTAAACTTCAAAAAAATTATTAACTAAAAAGTGATTTTTTTGTAGAAAAAAAAGTGAGAGAAGTGCTAAAATTGCTTATTTTTCCCAGTAAAAGACTCAAAAAAATTATGAAAAAAACAGCTATCAAACCATTTTTTTGAAGAAAAAAACTGGGAATATCACTAAAAAGGCTTGATTTTTTTCAGCTTTGAACTTGAAAAAAACAATGATTTTTCATCAGTAAGCTTCAAAAAAATTAATAAATTAGAACGAATTGAACTGTTTTTTTAAATGGGAAAAAAAGTGGAAAAAAAGCGTTAAAATTGCTTATTTTTTTCCAGTAATTAACGTGAAAAAAATCGATGAAAAAGCTAGCTATTGAACTATTTTTTTGAGAAGAAGAAATAATTAATTTTTTTGTCAATTTTTTTGAACCTTTTTTTGAAGTTATTTTAGAACATAATTACCAAAAAGTATCAATAGTTTTTTTAAAAAGTAGATTTTTCAAATTTCAAACCTGTAGTTAATGAATTTCTGTGCGTTGTAGGGTGATATTTTCGTCAAACTTATGATTTTCTCGATTTTCAGTCGTCAAAAACCTCTTTTATTTGACGTCACTCGAAAAAAAAAGGTACAAGATTGACGGAAAAGATTTCCTCTGATCATTGGGACGCGAACTCGGCAAATATATGTCTATTGATACATGTCTTGTTTATTTTCGAGTTGATAAGGGTGGGTTTCTGGAGAAAATATTGGTTTAGGACTGATTACAAGAAGCTTTACGAGTGAGAAAATGTTGAAAATTGAAAGAAAATTTAATTTTTTGAATTGTAACGGTTTCTGAGCCATTCCAAATGCGACCAAGATTTTTTTTTATTACTTTGAAGTGGATACAAGAAGATTTTCAAGTGGTAAAATGTTCAAAATTGAAATAATTAGGATTTTTCAAACCGCAACGCTTTTTTTGAGCCGTTCCAAATGCGACCACCAAGTTTTTTCAAAAAATAGGTATTGGAAACGCTTTAAAGCAATCACAAGAAGCTTTTTTTAAGTGCTGAAAAAAATATTTTTGTCAAAAAAATAATGGTTTTTTTAACCGCAACGCGGCCGCGCCGCTCAGTGAGCCATTCCAAGTGCGGCCACGATTATTTTTAATGAATAAGTATCACAACCGTTTTAGAGAAACTACAACAAGCTTTTCAAGCTAGAAAATGTTCGAATGTCGAACATTTTCTAAAAAAAGGTTTTTTCAACCGCAACGCGACCGCGCCGCCTTGCGAGCCATTCCAAGTGCGGTCATGTGGTTTTAAAAAAAATCAGCGTCACAAGTTGTGGCTCACAACCGTTTGAAGCAGACTTCCTAAGTGGGGAATGGGTTAAATTTGTTGAATAAAAGCTTTTCTTCAACTGCAATGCGACCGCGCCGCTCAGCGAGCCATTCCAAGTGCGCTCGTGAGTATTTTTTTTTTTTTTCGACCATTCAATTGAGGATAAGAAGATGGAAATCCATTTTTAAGCACTCAGGCTTGAAAAATCTTTAAAAGAAATATTCACCCTATTTCTGTAGATTTTCATTTTCTATGATGATTATAATATGTATAAATACATTTTTACGTGAAATCTTCAAATAAAAAAAAAGTTAGATTCCATGTAAAATCGATCATATGATTGGTGGGGCGAACTTGGCAAATACAATTACTTTGTTTGCCTGTTTTTTTTTTTCGATGTGTTTGGAGGTTTTATTTGTAGAGGAAAGTTTGCTCCGCCGCTGAACTTTTTCCTATGATTCATTTGTTTTTTTGTTCGTGAGTGACAAGGCGCCTGGTTGGGTTGCTGTTTGACGGGGAATTTCTGGTATTTTTATTGCGAAAATTGGAGGGAACTAGAGAAAACTTGTCTTGAGAGCTTGGTCTTGTAGGTAGGAAAAAAATTGGGGAAAAAGGAGGTTTTTTTAGAAATTATTGGATTTTTTTGGGGGTTTAATTTCGGTAAATGACTTTCAATGATTTTTAAAAAGATGTTAAATGATTTTTCAGGGTTTTTGGAGGTCTTGAGAGGAAATTATCAGTGTTTTTTTGAGGACTTGATATGTAAAATACCGTTTTTTTCAATAAAAAAATGGGTTTTTCAACAGGTTTTTTTAATGAATTTTTGGAGCTTTTAGAAGGTGGAATTTGAAAAGAACTGATTCAAAATTAAGAAAATTGTAGATTTCTGTTCATAATTTGCAATAGAACTTTTTATAAAAAAATAGTTATTTGTACAAAATTTCCATATTTTCATCGATTTTCAAGGTCACCAAGTATATTTAAACATGTAGAAGCTTAAATTTTTTAATTTCGTATTTCTAATTTCACAACACATTTCTGTACTTTTTCTTCTTTTCTTTGCGAAAAAAAAACCAAGAATTCTTATGAAATGAGTCAGCTGTAGTAACATTTGCCGTCATCTGTCCGCACTTTACAATTTTCTCCTCTTTCCCTTGTCGTGTTGTTTTTGGCCGGTTATCGGGGTTGAATCATTTTAAGTGATGGGTAATAACTAACACTGAAAGGATCACTTGAAGATATAGGAAAGTCCGAATTATGATCTAAAAAATGAGAAAAAGAAGGATGAATTTCAAGATCTTATATAATTTTTGACTATAAAGGGCCTTTTTCCCCCTCTCCTTGATGGGCTTTTTGGATCATTTTAAAAGATTGATTGGATATTGGAGAAAGAGGAGGATGATAATAAACACTGAAGGGATCACTTGAAAGAGGCAGGAAAATCTGAATTTTTATCTAAAAAATGAGAAAAGAAGGATGAAATGTATTTTTTTTATCGGATTTTTGGCAAAAATGAAGCTTTTCAACTTCCCTTGATGGGTTTTTGGATATTTCAAATTGAAAAAGTGGTAAAACAGATTTTTCATTTCAAAAATTGACTTGAAAACGGTCTATTTTTGAAAATCCAGTCGAAAAATCATGCATTTTATTGAGATTTTAGTTTTTCAGCTGGTTTTTCCGACTTTTTATCCTCTTTCATTGCATCTACAGGTAATCAGAGATTAACTGAAAATTAAAAAAAGATAAATATGTCAAAAAGTTCAATTAACCTTTTTTAATTCGAAAGTACACCTGAAAATGTTGTGGTAGTCAGAAAATCATGAAACTTTATCCAGATTTTTGATTTTTCAAACGGTTTTTTGGGCCTTTTTGAGATATTTTTCACAGTTACTGGGTGAATTTGGGCTTTTTTCAGTCTCTATTGACTCCTTGTCAGAATTTTGAAAAGTTCACATTTACGGGCCAAATTTGAAAGTTTTCAAATTTTATCGATTTCTTTACAGCTACGGGTACATCTGGACGACTTTCCTGTACCTTTTGCGGCTGACGGCGCTCTTGGTTCTTCCCCAGTGCCTTTGCAACCTTTTCGGACTCGTCTTGTTCAACGCCTTCAGAGAGAAGGTTCTTTGACACTATTTATCGATTTATTGATTTTTTTTTTTGAAGGTTCACCTGAAAGCGGCGCCCCTTCTGTCGCCGTTCGTCTGTTTCCGGGTCGTGACCAAGGGTGATTTCCCACAACTGGTCAAAGTAGGCTTTTTTTCGGTCGTTTTTCACAAGCAAAAAAATCATGTGTTCCAAAAGAAAATTTGAGCGGAAGAAGTTTTTTTTTAAATGGAAAATTTTTGAGAAAAAAATTGGAAAACGATGAGATTCTTTTTACAAATTTGAGTGAAAATAGCGGAGTTAAGAGATTTTTCTGCCATGAATGAATGAGTAAAAAAATTGAGGTCTAATTTTGAATAATTCGAGTGAAAATTTTGGTTTTCGAGGTTTTTTGTCGAGTTTTTCCGTGAAAATTGCTCTTATCGGTTATTTTTTCAAACTTGAAAATGAAGTATTCGAAAAATTAAAAAAATTGAAAAAAATATAATAAGCTTCTGTTGATAATTTCAGTGGAAAGGACGAACTTTAGAGATTTTTTTCCAACTTTGGTTCAAATCAATTTTTATTTTGTTATTTCAAAAAAATGTCAAGAGAAAAGAAAAAACGGAATTTCGTTGAACAGGAAGTTTGAGTGGAAAATGGTGCTTTTTTTCGAATTATCACTTTAAAATTGGTTTTTCCGTTTGATTTTTTCATAGACGGTTTTTCTGGCTGCCTTATCAAAATTCAAACTTGGAAAAATTGTCGAAAAAAAATACAGTTTTCGAGCTCCGAATCCGTTGAAAATTTGAGTAGAAAAAAAGGGGGTTTTTTTCTGAATTTTTCAAAAAAATTTGAGCGATGTTACTTATTTTTCACTTTCTGATGTACCTTTTTTTCCAATTTCCCCTCTTCAAAAAAATAATTTTTTTAAGAAGCTTGAAAATGAGCGTTTTCTGTTCCATCTTGAATTTCCTTTCAAGGATCTCTGGAAAAAACTAAAGTTCCTGTTCTTTTCTTTCTTTCGACAATTACGTAGGCGAAATTCGATCTTCTCCTTCTTCTTTTTCCGTCCTTTTTAGGTTTGTCCTGGAAAAAAATGGGCTTTTCCATCGTGCCACAAAAGTGAATCACTGGAAATTTGATAAGGAGAAGCTGATAAGACTGATAATTTATGGCTACGCGTAGAAACGGTTGTAAATTGGTTTCGCGAATGGAAATTGATAAGCAAAATGGGTGCAGAAACGTGGAATTTTAGAGGGTTTTCGGTGGTTGGAAGTTTGAGAAGCTTAAGTGGTCACTTTGGAAGTCTGAGTGGACCCTTAAGGGGTCTAGGAGTTCTAGTATTCCCTTTAGGCTCCAAATGGACGATGAAATTTGAAATTCGAAGTTTTTGAACCTTAAGTGGTCACTTTGGAAGTCTGAGTAGGGCCTAAAGGATTCTAGAACCTCTAGTGATCACTTTAGGCTTCAAACAACGATTTTTTAACTTCAAAAGCCTTCATGGCCATTGTAAAAGTCTCAATGAAGGTTTTGGCTATCGAAACTCAAGTGAACACTTTAGTGAATTCACTTAAGAAGTCTGAGTGGGGCCTTAAGGGGTTTGGGACTTCTAGTGATCACTTTAGGCTTCAAATGACGATTCTTAACCTCAGCAGCCTTTTTGACCATTGTAAAAGTCTCAATGAAGCTTTTCAGCTATAGAAAATCAAGTGAACACTTTAGTGTACTCACTTTGGAAGTCTGAGTGGAGTCTGAAGGGGTCTAAGACTTCCAGTGGTCACTTTAGGCTTCAAACAACGATCTTCTAACCTCGAAAGCCTTCATGGCCATTGTAAAAGTCTCAATGAAGGTTTTGGCTATCGAAACTCAAGTGAACACTTTAGTGTACTCACTTAAGAAGTCTGAGAGGAGCCTTAAGGGGCCTAGAATTTCAAGTAGTCCCTTTAGGTGCCAAAAGACATTACACTATGAAGAGATTTTCAATGATTCGAAGTTTCTAACCTTAAGTGGCCACTTTGGAAGTCTAAGTGGAGTTTTGAGGGGTCTAGGACCTCTAGTGGTCACTTTAGGCTTCAAGTAGAGTTTTGTTAACCCCAAAAGCCTTTTTGACCGTTGTAAAAGTTTCAGCGAATTATTTAGTTATTGGAATATAAGTGAGCACTTTAGTGACTTTTCAAATGTAATTACCAAACAGAGTCATGGTCATTATAAATTGGAAAAATTTCCACTTTTAATAATTTTTTTGAAAATGGGATCATTAAAGGGGTTCTAATGGAATTTCTGACATTTTTCAAATCATGAAAAATTGCTATAATTGTCATTTTTGTGCGCAATTTGACCTCTCAAATGATTCCTATTCGTTTTTGGTGTCTGGTTTCTCGAGAATTGGGCTAATTTTCGTGTTTTCTTGTGCTCTTTTGCTCATTTTTTGACCGGGCGATGAGTGTATTTTGCTCAAAATTTTTTGGAGATTCGGAATTTGGGGATTTTTTCGGTTTTTAAGAGAGATAAACTGAGAGAAAAAGAACATAACCTTTTTTGGACTTTTCAGGGTTGAATGAAAATTTCTTTTAACGAAGTTAAGAGCTTGAAAATAGGCTTTAAAGTCCATAAATTCATGAAATTGAATTTTTTTTTCTCAAGTTTTTTGGCTTAGAAAGGAATTTGATTGGAATTCGGAGACGGAAACATTGGGGATTTTGAAAAATTAATCTTCAAAAATTTGCTAAAAATGATTTCAGAACATTTTATTCTGAAAAAAAGTTGTCATGAACTTATCAAAAATCGTTTTAAGACTTCATAATCGAAAATTAAAGTCTCTCAGCAACTTCCCATTCAAATTTCGACTAAAAGAAGCCTTTCGAATGATTTTTGAAGATTTCTGAACATTTCCGAGCAAAAAAAAAGAAAATATATAATACTTCCGGATAGACACCTTTTTTGCACTTCGAAATTCAAAAATTAAGTTGCCAAGGTGATTTTTGGAAAAAAAAAGAAAAAAAAGAAAGGAGAAAAAAGGAATACATTAATGCAAAGGGAACATGTGGTTTCGGGTTCGGTTCCCCTGGGTTACCATTTTTTTTCTTTGCTCTCTGTAGTGTAGGTGGTTTTTTCCGCTGAATTTTCGATCTTTGTGGAGGTCTTGAAGGACTTGGGGGCTTTGAAACAAAGAAAAATAATGGAGAAGACGAAAATTTGCTTTTTCTGTTGGGATTTCAATGCAAATTGTAATAATAAGACTCTTTTTTGAGAATTTTTAAGAAATTTATAGACCTTTTTTTCAACATTTTTTTTGGCTTAAACTCAATTTTTGGATTTCTGGTAGATTCCCTGGAGAGTTTAAGGTGTCTGAAAAAAGGAAAAACTTGAAAAAAAGTCGGAAATTTCCTGTTTTCTGTTGGAATTTCAATGCGAAATTGTAAAAAAAATAAGACTCTTTTTGAGAATTTTTAAAAGAATTTATGGACTTTTTTTATATTTTTTTCTACCGTCTTTTTAAACTTTAGTTACTTTTTAATCAGGTAAACTTTTGGATTTTTTTGAGTGAATAAATATAAATAAATTTTTTTGAAAAAAATACTAATTTCAAAAAGAAATGTTTAGTCTGAAGCTTAAAAAAATTTGGAAAAAAAGAAAAAAAGGATAAAAAGTCCATTTCTTTTTCTTTATTATCAGTGTTCAACCACATTTTTTTGATGTTACGAAGAATGAAATAAGCTTTTTGACCTTGAAAATAGGGAAAAATATTGAGAAAAAAATATTTATAAAACACATGAAGGAGAAGAATTCTGGGAGTGTACAGTGATAAAAAAACGGCATTATTATCGAAATGAAACTTTAAAAATATGACAATTTTGCAGGAAAATGTCGAAACCAACATGAAGAAGTGCTTCGATGCTGGCATTGAAAACTTCATTTTTTTGAGGTGAAAATTTTTGAGATTTTTATTAAAAAGAAAGAAGGGTTCAAATGCACAAAAATACAAAATCGGGCAGTTTTACAGCAGATTTATGTGAAAAAAATGACCGTTTTTTTGAACAATTTCATGTTGGAAAAAAACAGCGAGAATTTTATTTTTTTCTACTCTAAAAAAAATGGGTATTATTGCGATTTTTTTAGAGCTTTGAGTACCGATTTTTTTGGGATTAAAAGGTACATCTTTTTTTCTCTAAATTGAGGTTTTTTTCAAAATTTTGTCGATTTTTTTCTAGATTTTTTTGTTGGTTTTGGGTAGTTGAGAGATTAAAAAAATGATTGACAAAATTTGAAAATTGAGCACTTTTAAAATATTTTTTTGCTTTAGCTGACTTTTTCCTGTGTAATGAAGACCTTAAAAAACTATTTTTTCGAATTTTTTTCCAACTTTTTCCTAAGAATTTTTTTCCATTTTAGGTAGTTACTGACAAGCCGATTAATTTGCCACAACACCCACGGGTACGGGAAGTCGTCGTCCCAAAGAGCTACAGGTTGATCAATCAATCAATCGATCGATTTATTGATCAAAATATCGATTTTCAGAACAAAAAGCGGAGCCAAGTTCAAGGCGCGCGCCCTTCAGTACTGTTTGGAGGACGATGTTAATATTTTTGCAGGTGATTTTTCAGGGGAATGTCATGGATTTTTGGTTTATTTTTTTGAGAAAAAAATTAGGTGAAACTTTTTGAAAAAAATGTGAAAAGGAAAAAAAATTTGAAGCGAAAAATTAAGATTTTTTTGAGGATTCTTCTTCATTTTTTCACTCGAAAAAAATTCTTATTTTTTTCTCTAAACTCTCTTATTTCCGCACACTGTCTCGCCCTTTGGGGTCATGACCTCCCCCAGATTTTTAAGAATTTTACTCGATTTTTTCACTCGTAGGTTACTGTAGAACTCTCTTATTTCTGCTCAATATCTCGCTTTTTCGTGTCAGGGCCTTTTTACCCCCTGAGTTTTCATTGATTTCTCGAGATATTTTCAAATAAGATAGCGATAATTGGAGTCAATCAAAATAAAATTGAAGTGATTTTGAGAAAAATGAGAAAAAATAGGTGGAACTTTTGAAAAAAAGAGATATTTATAATTTTAATAAGAAAATTTGAAGCCAAAATGAAGATTTTCGAGGATTTTACTTTATTTTTTCACTCGAAAAATTCATATTTATCTCTAAAACTCTCTCATTTCCGCACACTATTTCGCCCTTTGGTATCAGAATTTTTTTGTCTTTTCCGAATTTCAATCAATTTTTTGAAGTATTTTGTTTCATAGAGCTGTAGTTAAAGCAATGAAATTCAACCGAAACTCAATCATTTGTGACTAATTTGTAACGTGTTTGGTGTCGCCTTCTCTGTTAGAAAATGACGAATTATCCAAAAATTTTTTTCAAAAGTTACGAATTGAAAAAAATGAATTCACGTGAAACGACGGGCGAAAATGTCGTTTTTTTCATTTTTTTAAGCAATCATTTTCTATAATATTTTATGATTTTTTTGTCCATTCAATGCTGTCATCTTTGAAAAAAATTCTGAATTTAAAAAAATTTTTGAAATGACGACTTATTCTTCTATTCCATGATGCCTCGAAAGTTTGAAAATCAGTGAAGTTTCCGAAAAAAAATTAAGGAGAAATAGTGTGCGAAAATGAGAGAGTTTTAGAGTAACTTAGAATTTTTTTCGGGAGATTTAAAGGTCAATATCTATTTCATAGTTTGATAGAAAAATTTTTTTAGTTTTTTTGAGCTTAAAAATTTAAAAAAATACGGTTAATTTTTTTCATTGGAAAAAAAGAGGTTTTTTTGCAATTTTTTTCGGATTTTTTTGACTTTGAACCGAGGTTTTTTTGTCGATTTTTCAGCTTTGATTATTGATTCAAAGGGGAATATTATATTGTTTGAGCTTGAAAAAAATGAAGAATAGGTTTTTCTTTTTTTGGAAAATAATTTTTTTACATCGGGAAAAGGGATAGTAAACAGTGAACTTTGATAATAACTATTTTTTTAGAATCTATTTGGTCTTATTTAAAAAAATGGATTACCTGAAGATTCGAGGAGATTTTTTTGTTTTTGTTACACATATGTGTTGAATTTGCTTTGGAATGTATTTTGATAATTTTCAGAACGCTGACTGGATTGTCCATCTTGATGAGGAGACGTTGTTAACAACGAATGCGGTTGGTTCATTGTTTGAAAAAAAGCAATTTCTGAAAAAAAAGAATAGTTTATTCAGTTGGAACTGTGATTATACCTGAATTTTTTTATGGATTCTCTGATAAAACTGATTTTTATTTTTTTCCCAAGGTCCCTCAAGGGATCGCTTAGCGTTTGAAACCGGAAATTCCCTTGAGTGACCACTTTTTTTCGTTTTTTTCCACTTGGTTTCCGGTTTTTATCAGCTCTTTGATCATTTAGAATAAAAAAACTGAAAATTTGGATTTTAAGCCGCTCAAGGGACCACTTAACATTTGAATTCGTAAATCCCCTTGAGTGACCACTTCTTTTTCCGTTTTTCACTTTGAAAGTTGAAATCGATAAGGACATTCCTGCAAAAAAATTTTCTTAAAAAAAACTGAAATTTTTGGATTTTTAAGTCACTCAAGGGGCCACTTGCCATTTGAAACCAGAAATTCCTTTGAGGAACCACTTTTTTTCGTTTTTTCCACTTTGAAAGTTGAAAGTTATTTAGGAACTTCTGCTTTTTTCAGCTCTTAAAACATATTAATTGAAACCTAAAGTGTAATTTTAAGCCGCTCAAGTGACCACTTGCCGTTAATCAAAAATTCCTTTAAGTGACTTCTTCTTTTTCCGTTTTTCCACATGAACATTTGGAAGAGATTTGGAGATTCCTACTCTTTCAGCTCTTTGGACGTATGAATTAAAACTATAAAGTTGATTTTTAAGCCACTCAAGGGTCCACTTGACATTTGAAACCAGAAATTCCCTTGAGTGACCACTCTTCCATTGCAGATTTGCGGGATCTTGAATTTTTGCGAAGACGGGAAACATCAATTCGGCCAGGGTGTCATCACCTACGCCAACGGGGAGATTGTCAATTGGCTCACCACCTTGTCTGATTCTTTTAGGTTCGATTTTGAGGATTATTATTCAATTTTTCCTTCTTGAGCTTTTTTTTAAGTCGTTGATGTTCTGAAATCGATTGAATGACTCTAGATTTGATTTTGAAGCATTTTGAATAATTATTTCCAAAAGAAGAAGCTTTAACTCCTTTTCCCATTATTTTTTTAGAGTACCTACTTCCAAAGACAACTTTTTAGGGACCAGAAATTTCAGTTTCGACGCAGTTTGAATCTGTTTTTCTGAAGATTACGAGCTTTTCAATTGCTATATATTCACATTTTTTCCATTTTTAGTGTAGTTTACTTTGAAGCTCATTTTTAGAAACGAGTAATTTCCATTTTGAGGCATTTTGATTCAACACTTTTGAACAAAAAAAGCTCTAACAAACTTTTCATTTTCGAATTTTAGAGTAGCTGACGACATGGGAAAACTGCGGTTACAGTTCAAAATGTTCCACAAGCCGCTGTTTGGATGGAAAGGCTCGTTCGTCGTGACCCAGGTTTCGGAAATAATCGAAAAAAGAATGAATAAATGTTTCAAGAGTCTTTGAAAAGAAATAATCAGCTTTTTGTTTTATTTCAAAAGCTCAATTGTATGAGTCTGAGGCTTTCAAATGCATTTTTTGAATTTTATATTTAGCTGGATCTTCAATTTTCCATCTTCTTAACGAATAATCACTATTTTTCCATAATAACTTCACTTTTAGACTTCAATGTCTCTAAAGACAATCTTTAACTAGATTTTTCCCTTCCGATTAACGTAAAAATTCGATCTCCGGGCCTCTGTGAAACCTCAATTCGATCTCCGAAAAACCTCTGTGAAACCTCAATTCGATCTCCGAAAAACCTCTGTGAAACCTCAGCCCGTCCATTCTGCTCTTGTATCCGCCTTAACCTTCCTCTCGTGCAGTTAATAAACTCTTTTTATTCAAGGTTGAAGCTGAAAGGAAGGTCTCCTATGACCACGGAATGGAAGGCTCCATCGCCGAAGACTGCTTCTTCTCGATGGTCGCCATGAAACACGGCTACACCTTTGATTTCATTGAAGGTAATTGGAGTGTGAATTCCGTCCTTCAAGAGCACTTAAGACAATCTGTTAACGTTTGAAATTGATTTCGATTTTTTTGATGATCTTTCAAAAATAGGAACAATGGCTTAAGCCATCGAAAAATGGTCCTGACACGATTTTTGAAAAAAAGTGCTAGAGGGAGAGCGACAGGCCACGCCCCCTCAGCATTCAGAGCTAGGCTCTAACCTTCTTAAAAACACTAGAGTGGTCCCTAGAGGTTTATGAGTTAAAAAAGCTCTTAAAGGGGCACCCAAGTGCTCCCTAGAGTGGTTTAGGGTGTGACTTTCAAACTTCTAAAGTGGGGCTTCCCTAGAGTGGCCACTTTCGCGAACTACTGGGAAAATTTTTAGTGGCCACTTCAGTAGCTTTTCATCCAGTATTCCTTCCAGTAACTCTGATAATTTTAAAACAAACAGATTGGACCAGTTTTGTTGATCCATTGACCCCTAAAGTGACCACTAAAATTTTTTGTGGTCTAGTAGTAGCACTTAGACCTCTATAGTGGCCATTAATTTTTAACCCCTAGAGTGGCCACTTATTTGACTACTATAGTGGCCACTAAAACGTCAAAACCCTATGGTGGCCACTAAAAATTTTCTCAGTCTAGAGAAGAGGGAGGTCGTCACTAGAGGGGAACCTAGAACTGCCCCTGAAGTTCCACTTCTAGGGACCACTGTGGCGTTCTTACCAATGTTTGCTACGATTCTCTGTCGTATCCGGTGAAGAAATCAATAAGATCTATATTTTTGCAGGCGAGATGCACGAGAAGAGCCCCTTCACCATGTGGGACTTTTTGCAACAACGGAAACGATGGCTGCAGGGAATCCTGCTCACCGTCCACTCTCCACAGATTGCCCTGGCTCACAAGGTTTCCACTAGGAGAAACTTCTTTCTCATACACCTCCATATCAGGCTCTTCTCGGACTGTCGCTGTACGCCTGGGCGACGATGCCGATCACTTCCCTGCAAGTGTTCCTGTGTCCCTTGTTCCCCCTGCCGCGGTGTCTTCCCTTCGACTTCGCCTTGTCGTTCGTCGGCGCCGTCAACCTCTACATGTACATTTTCGGCGTCATCAAGTCCTTTTCACACAAATATCGGTGAGCTCTTCTTTTTTTCAGATAAAGGTTTGATAGTCTTCATAATAATAAGTTTATTCACTGCATACCACAAGAAAATGAGTAGTTATAATAATACAGGACATAAGAACAGTCTTTCTGTTCAAAAAATCTTTGAATTTCTGTCGGATTTTCGAACTTTTCATATAGACATTCTCAATGAAATAGTAGATGACCCTGAACGCCTCATTCTTTGAAAATTTCTGGTTTTACCGAACTTTGAAGATTTTCTGTGACTTTGAGGCGTCCTTTACTCGAACGTTACAGATTATCAGGATCAAAAATTATCCTGACGTGTTTTCAGAATATTCTGTACAGTAGAAAAATGAAGAAAGGGTCCTTTTTAGTGCGGAAACAACCCTTTTTAAAGTTTGAAGCTTCCAGAATCGTTTTTACCACATCCAAAAAATCCTTGCCAGTTTTCAGAAGTTTTTGAAGAGTAAAAAAATGAAAAAAGCCATTTTGGTGCAGAAAAAACCTTTTTTGCAGGTTAGGGCTACCAGAGTAGTTTTTAGCACATCCAAAAATATCCTGACATGTTTTCAGAAGATTTTGTACAGTAGAAAAATGAGAAAAAGCCTTTTTTGGTGTAGAAACAACCCTTTTGGCAGCACCAAGATCGTTTTTAGCAAGTCAAAATGTTTCCTGACCATTTTTCAGAAAACTCTGAATATAGACAAATAAACAGAGGGCCTTTTTCGGGACAGAAACAGGCCCTTTTTGCAGGTTGAAGCTTCCAGGATCGCTTTTAGCACGTCAAAATGTTTCCTGACCATTTTTCAGAAAACTCTGAATTTAGAAAAAGGAAAAGAAGGCCTTTCTTTAGGGAGAAATGAGTCCTTTTCCCGATCTTGTGTCTTTTTCAAAGGTTCTCCGATTACAGAAATAACTCGTGGCGACTGATCCTGTACCTGACGGGCGCCCTGATGACGATCCCCTTCAACATTCTAATCGAGAATCTCGCCGTCATCGTCGGCATGTTCGGCCGCAAAGATCAGTTCTACATCGTCAACAAGCACCATCTCATGACCGTCTAGCCGATTTTCCTCGTCTTCCCACCTTCTCCAGGTCCGTTCCTTCTTAGGAAAAGTAGTGAAATTGGAACTTTTGAAGCATGTGGAAAGAATGGCTGTTACTACAAAAATTCAATTATAAATAGATGAACAATCGAGACGAGGTTTCTGAGCCAAGATATTCGCAAAAAAGAAAATGCAGCTGGAATAATAAGTCATGCGAATATAACTAGGAAGGCAATAAAAGTTTCCTGGCCAAAATAGCCGCGATATAGCTGATTAACGGCTGGCTTGAGCCATCGAGAAAAGGGTCCTGCCACGAAAAGAGACGAGACAGTGCCCTGCTTGGTGGAGAGTGTAGACAGGCCACGCCTTTTTGCGTCCTAAGCTAGCCGTGAATCGTCTATATGTACAGCCTGAGAAGCATCAGCTGCCAAAAACAGCCAGAGAAAAAATAGCCGTGCGAAAATGGGTCTTCCAGGTCTTGGAGCGAATTTCAAGCGCAAAAAAAAACTGAATTTTCGATAGGCCAATTTTAGTAACGGCATAAAAGCTACGAAACTTTTTTTCCGCTACCACCCTCACAAGTTCCAGAAAGATTAAACTTTATACAAGGGAGTTTTGATCAAAAAAGACGTTTTTTCGTATATCTTCTAACGGATCTGTTGTACACATTTATTCAAGCTCAAAAAATAATATTTTATTTTTCCCCCTTATCGATTATTTTTACAGTGCGGATCGAGACCCCAACCTCCATCATCCTCATCCTCATCACCGAATCAAATCCATCGCACCTTCATCATTTTGATATCTCTGCTGCTTCTGCGAAAAAATATGCACCGTGTCTCTGAAAAAATGTGTGTGTGTGGTGTCCTTTTTCGATTTGTGTGTGAGGGAAAACGACAGGAAAATCGTTCATTTTTGTTTTTTTGGGTACTTGGAAAATGATGCTTTTTGTTGGCTTCTATCAATAAGCGCGTTTGGGTAGCAAAAATTGCCTGAAAATTGATTTTTGTTGGCTTATATCGGTGGAGCGCATTTGAACGGAGAAAACGGCCTGATATTTGATTTTATCAATAGAGCGCGTTTGGACGTGAAAAATGGCTTTCAGGAATGATTTATTTCATTAGTCAACAATAATGCAGCTTTGAAGCTGAAAAAAGACCCCTGGCTCAAATTTCTCGCCAAATTGCGCTCTATTGATAATTTTAGTCTAAGAGCGATTTTTCGAACTCTTCTACGCTCCAACGATAATTCGTCTCATTTTCGTTCCATTTCGAGGCGGTTTTTCAAGATTATATTCGCTCCAACGAACAAACGGCTTTTTTTTTTTCGAGTACCTCAAATTTTCTCTTAGTTTGTTTTATATTTTCTTTCCCCGGTTACTATACTTTATTTCCTACGTTACGAGAAGAACTGGTGATTTTTTTATACATATTTCTTTTCAAGTTTCCTTGAAAAAAATGTTTTTGCTCAATCTGCTTCGCTTTTATCCAAAAAAATTCTTTATTACATATGCTTGCTCAATTGTTTTTTTGTTCATTTTATGTATGAAAAGTAGCGATTTTGAAGCGCAAAAGTTGCCTTTTTTGGAGCGTTTTTGTTGAAAAATGTGCCAAAAATTGCATTTTTGATGAAATTTTCAGTTTTTCGTCAAGCGCGCTGCTGCAAAAAAGTTAGAGAGTGTGGAAAAATTGGAGAGCCCCAGACAGCTCGAAGTTTCTCTTTTTCTCTGGTTCTCTCCTCGTTTTCCATGCTATTTCTTCATTTTTTTTCTTCTATATACATTTTTCTCTTTTCAAATATGCGGGTCTCATCTCGACTCTTCCGTTTGATTGTTTGGAAAAAAAGAAAAGAATGATGAACTTTTATTTTTTCTGACCGTTGTGATTCGTCCCCCGACCCCAGTGCCTGCTTCAATTTTTCATTGATGAAAAATGAAAAAATGTGTGATTCTTCTTAGGATTTTCCAAAGAAACTTAGGAACTTATTCCATTTTTCTCTCCCTCATGAAACAACCTACTTTTCTTCCCGATTTTCCACCCATCTATTGATCTCATATATATTATATTTCCTCTTTTGGTCCCCGAATCACGTGTCTCTTTTCCTTTTCTATTGTTTCATATTTGTCTCAAAGCTTCTTCTGTATATCCACAACCCTACAACACGACGAATTTTATTATATATTTTTTTCCATAGGAGTTCTTACTTAACTGTTTGTTTTTATGATTTTTTTCCTATTCGCATGAAAAAAATTTTTAATGAATGATTCAATGAAATGCATTTCGAAAATAATTGGAAAAAAATTGATTTTTTTCAGAAGGGTTGCGTCTAATTAAATGTATTGTCCGCAATGACGCAGTGGTGATTGCGGACTTGAAATTTTCTACAGTAGTTTTTTCCGATTTTTATCTCCAAATTTCACTTTTTTTTTAGTTTCAAATAAGATTTTATAACGTTTTTTCTTTTTTTCATCATTTAATAATATATTTCAGTTATCTAATTTTTTTAAAGTTAGAAATTTAAATTCAGTTGATTTACAACATTTCTTGAGAGGAGTCTGACCAAAAAAATGTTTTTTCTTTTAACTTCAGTTATAAACCAACCATTTTCTGTTTCCCTGTTCAAATTCATTTTAATTTAATTTTTCAGCAAAAAAGACTATATTAAAGCATTGGAACAAGTAATACGAAGTGAAAACAGTGAATTTTCTAGCAAAATGGCTTACTGTTAGAATTATGCATTTTTCATATGACTGACATGTATTAAATTCAAAAAAAATCATTGATAATTGAATATTTATTCCTCTTCCCGTGCCGCCATCCGTTTTTGCAATGTTCTTCTTGGAGTGGGGACCCAATGGGAGTCGAAGTTTATGTCGGTAGCCAAACTGAAAAAAAGAACTATTAAATTTTTATATTTTAATGCAATGTTCTAATTATTTTTAGGCGATTTCGAAATTGATCGTCTAAAAATTTGAATTTGTTAGGAGTTTATAGAAAAAAATCGGGTCTTGCAGCGAATTATTGCAACATAGGGATTTTTACGATGAGTTTGAATTTTTAATCTAAATTGCTCCAATAACTTGAAATTTTGGCGTGAAAGTTACAGTAAAAATACATATACGGGGATAATCGTTGTAGGACCCGCATTTTTCTCTGAGGGCTCCCAAAAATAAATCATCGAGAACTTTTGATTTTTTTCAAGTTTTCCAACCCCAAAAATGATCTTTTTCTGATCGTTCTGGTCTCAAGGTCGTTTCAAGACGCCGCGGAAAAGGACAAAAAAAAATAACTGTTCACTATTCTTGTCGTTTTCTCACTTCTTAAAAGGTCCCTTTACGCTAATTAAAACGAAAAGGTTTAATAGGCTATTATTAATTATTATTATGAATTTTTTCATGTAAATTTTCGTTTCAAAAAGATTTTTACCGTTGAAATATGACATTTTTCATAACATTTATTGACATTTATTCAGTCCTCAGAGTAATCTTGTATCTGCTGAATCATGGAATATTTGAAGAGATGTTTGTTGGTTCGCGCAACTGTCGCCTATCTTTCACCAAGAACTGCTCGTACTGTAGGTCATCTCGCCAACGGGGTTTGGGTCGTCCAACTCCACGCGTTTTCGCCCATGGTCGCCATTCCACGATTTTCTTCGCCCATGTGTCTTCTCCCGTAGCGATCTTCTTTGCGAAAAGCCATTTTCTCTTCACAGCTTCCGACCGAACTTCGCGTAGCTTCAACTTTTCATAGAGCCAGGAGTTTCTTCTTCTGTCGAGCAATGTTACTCCGAGCATCCATCGCATCATTTTCCGCTGTGCCGTTGCCAGAAGGTTCCTTTCTTTCTTCTTCAGAGTCCAAGTTTCCGAACCATAGAGAAAAAGCTGGTTCAATACACATGTTGTATATCTTGGCTTTGTGTATATTGGAAACGTTTCTTCGTGTTAAGTTAGGGACCGCAAAGCCACGCCCCTTTTTCGCGATAGAAAAAAAGTGGCTTTTTTTGGTTTTTCAAATTTAATTTAGTTGTAGTTGCAAAAATATGTGGAACTGGCTAATAAAATTTGACACACATGTACAGAAAAAGCTTCCTCTTTCGTTTTAAAAAAATATTTCACGCTTTTTTTGATGCGTTCTCGCGGAATGTCGTACAAAAAAACGTGAATGGAACTAAAAAAATTTTGTCATTTTTTTGCTTTTTTCATGTGTTTTTCAGGTCGAACGCACTCTTTCTTTTTCTATAATGATTTTTGATTCAAGTAAAGGTAATTTTTAAAACAATAAAATAAAAAAACTCGTCTTTGCCAAAAAAATTTTTAGGGAGTGCCGAAAGTCATAATTCGAAAATATCGTTAATAAGCGAATATAATCGAGTTTTTTTGTTTTTTTCAGAATTTAGACCATGGGCTTACTTAAATTTTTTTCTCCACAGCATATGTGCTTGAAAAAAAGTTGTTTGATACGCAAAAAAATGCTCTTGAAAAATAGAGAATAAAATTAGCGGCGTTTATCACACAAAAAGCGGTCGAACGCAGGTTTTTTTCAAACGATTATATACATTTATTAGTAAAAAAATCTTTCAATTAAAAAAATAAAATAAAAAAATTCGTCTTTGCCGAAAATATACGGGGCCGTTTTTAATGCAGCGATCGTTAAAAGAGGCAAAAAAAGCACTGAAAAAAACAGTTTTTTTCGAAGTGAATTTCCACGAAACGTTTGAGTAAAGATTTGCGAACATATTCTGATCAAAAATAGCTTAATTACTTCAAGTTTTTTTCTTTTTTGAAATAGGCAATCTGTGCTATCCAAACGGCTCAAAGGGTAAGGCGGATGGAAGCTCCCCGCGCTAGACCTGACAGCTTGGCGCAGTGCGTGCGCTGCGATATTTCATTTTGAGGTCGCGAGTTCGATACCCGCAAGCGCCAGTTTTTTGTTTTCTGCAAAATACCGACTTTTTCGGCAAACTAGCTGATTAGCATCATTTTAGCACTCTATTATAATTTGTTACATCATAATAGACCAGTATCAAAACTTTTTCTAGAAGAAAAATCGAGAAAAATGTCAAAAATGGATAATACCAAAATTTCAGTACTAAAAAAATGGTGCGCGGCGTGCCACATTTTTCGTCATAACTTTTTTCATCCTCAATCTTTTTTGAAAAACTAAACGGTTCTGAGTTCTGAATCGAATCAGCTATCAAATCATACAAAGCTCAATGCTGAAAAAAAATTTTTGAAAATTCGTCTGCGGTCCCTATGTTAAGTACGTTTTGAACTTGTGGAAGACGCTCCATGCAGAACGAATTCGGCGTTGGATTTCGGTTTTCGAGCCATCAGCGAAGTGCAGATGGGTACCGAGGTAGATGAACCCATCCGTGTAGGCGATTCTTTTCCCATCAATCT